TCCGAATAGCGGGAGCTCAGTGAAAGAGCGATCATTAATAACTCCTCCCTGAGTGTCCAGTAGTGACACTTCTCAGTCGGCCACTAGTTATAATTGCTCGTCTTTTGCAGTCTCCTGAAGGAACCGAAATCGAAGTGAAATTAGTGAATTTCACAAAAGGCCTTTCTGTTGACGGATGCAGTTATGCAGGTGTAGAGATCAAGACCAACAAGGACCAAACGCTCACTGGTTACAGGTACATTGGTTGAAAAAAATTAGAAGTTTGGTAAGCTCAATTCGAACAAAAGAAAGAATAGGACTGAAATGGCAGTTTGTTGTTCGCGGAACAGAAGCCAAAATGACATACACGATCGCCTAAGAGTGATGCAAAAGCCTTAAAAAACAAAATGATTTAAGATTCTGCTCACCTGACGCGGCTGGAACAATTCTTCGTTCTTACATAAACCGTGTCCCAATAATGACATATAACAGGATTGTCAAAACGACTACTGTCCTTGAATATCGACACGGTACTGCTTCATTATTTCATGTCTCGGAAAAACTCAGACTAACCTGAAGCACTTAGTCCCTGCGAACTCACCAAGACCTACGACTCCTACCACCACTACTACTACAACTACGACAACAACAAAACGACCTGTTCCATTTATAAACACAGGAACTGACTCTAAATGCGAGGACAACCATTCGTAGGAAACGTTTTCCTATCACTGATTCTTTGTCGAAAATTATCCAGAGGATACTTTCAGGTGCCGCTCTCTTGTACCGAGTGGTTTCTGCAAGGGGACACTATCAGAGGCCACCAAGAAGAAAGTGTGTCCGAAGTCATGCGGTTTCTGTGATTCTTTGCACTGACTGCAATAAAGTTGCCGTGAATCGCTCTGATCAATATCACATCTTATTGTCAGTGCAGAGTGCATAGTCGCTTATTCAATCGTTCGAATGACGTTTGACGGGTTGTCGAAGGAGGTGGTAGAGTCTCCCTCTTTGCATCATTTATGCATAACTCCGTGCTCACCAACATAATTCAGCTTGTCAGGACTGGAAGTGCAAGACCGGACGTAGGAAAGTGAAGTGTACATGGTTCTGTCTTGATCAAACCTTTCAGTACGATTCAGGTGTTCCAAATCCCTCATACCACTCAGGACTGAGTAACGATCGCTAGATGGGTGGTCGTATTTGAGTGACTTCTAAGAGAAGAGTCGTGTTTGGCTCGCTCTTTACCAACATGGAGGGTTGCGAATGCATAGGAGAAGAGCTGAAACTGTATAACTATCTGGTACTTGTATAACTACTCTTCTCCGGCCGCTGCTTGATGAACGGGACTAGGACAACCTCGTAGGTGATTGGAAGGGCTGCAGAAAAATAGCTGTTGGCAAATCCACTGTTGCGGATGGTCTGAAACGCATTGGGAAGGTGAAAAAACTCGACAAGTGGGTGCCCCACAATTTGAGTGACCGGCAGAAATTGGCACGTCTCGAGGTTTCTTCTTCACTGCTTTTGCGCAACAGAAACGACCCGTTTTTGGACCGAATTGTCACCTGTGATGAAAAGTGGATCATGTATGATAACAGGAGACGTTCCGGACAGTGGTTGGATGCCGACGAACCACCGAGGCAATTTCCAAAGCCGAATCCTCACGAAAAAAGATTATGGTCACAGTGTGGTGGTCATCGGCTGGTGTGATCCACTATAACTTTTTGTCACCAGGCCAAACCATCACAGCAGAACCTACTGTGAAGGAATCGACGAAATGTACCGAAAATTTTGTCAGCTGCAGCCAACACTTATCAAAAGAAAGGGTCCGATTCTTTTGCATGACAACGCCCACGTTTCACAAATCACTATCCATAAATTGAACGAATTGGGGGTTGAAGTTCTACCTCACCCGCCATATTCTCCAGACCTTTCACCAACCGACTATCACCTTTTCAAACATTTTCAGAACTTCCTTGCTGGAAAATACTTCATCAATCAGGACCAGGCAAAAAAGCCTTCGTGGATTTCGTGGATTCTCGACCACCCAGTTTTTCTTTGATGGGATTTATCGACTGTCACATTGGCAAAAGTGTGCTGATTCGAACGGTGCTTATTTCGATTAAATCCGATGAGTATTAAGAAAGTTATGATCGTTTAAAGTGAAACACTCAAAACGCTGAGAACTTTCCGGACAACCTAATAGGAGGGGTGCCATGTAGTGGGAAAATTACCAAAAGCGAACGAAACGGTCGAAACTTGCAAAAAATCTTGGTTCTGGACTAACTCGTCCAAAAAATTTCGGACGAGTTTACCGTTGGCATCGTGCCAATAACCGTCGCATGTATGTACTCATATATCCACGCAGCAGTGCACTGTTTCATAACAATACCTTCGCTTCATATGGTACTTCGCAAATGGAGCAATAAGAGCATCAGCATCAGTGGTACACTTGTGGGCGGGCGGGCGCGATGGGCGTCCAGATCGGTATATTGGAGCTTGATAGGGCGCTATAAGGGCAATCGCAATTATGATTCAGCCCAGTACAGGATAGGACAACACTTGTTTCAAAGAAAAATATCCCACGAACACCTAATCGAACGCCATGTTCAAGTGGGTACGCAGCTACATGTACTCGAAATCCCTGAGATCGGGTAGGCGGAGCATTCGAACACTGTACAGAAGAGGTTACTAATGGAATATTTCAAATCGGGGACAACTGTCATCTTGTTCTGTGTTGGACAGAGACACGACAGCAATTGTGTCGAGATGAAAATATCGCATCAGAAGCGTAGACGCCTTAAGGGTAAGTTGAAACATGCGGCCACGCCTACCCGATCTCAGGGATCTCGAGTGTATGCCCAGTCATCGTTGGGATGTGCAGTGTATGGTATGGTGGAAGCGGTGGAATGGTTTCAAAAATCGTATTTATGATCGCTGTTGCAAAAGTGGAGCAGGGCCTAAGAGGGTTGCTCACTGGCCTCCAGGAATGGGTCTAGCTGAGCTCAAACGGTTTTCTCTTCACAACAGCACAAAATTTGTAGGTGATGTTGCATACAGGTGAGTGGCTTAGTACGTTACGAATTAAAAAGAAATAGATAGCGTGTTCTTGACGTCACATACCGCATTGACTTGTCCTGAGACGTCACTGGCATGAAGTGGTACATTTTTCTTGGTCACTAAAGTGCTACAGCCCATATGCGAGGACAAAAAGAGGCCTTCTGTTCAATTGGCTGAGTATTCCCTGCCGGCTCTGCTCTCCTTCACGTGCGTCCCTGCCTCTTTTTCGTCTGCACTCTATCAGCTGCAGCCGTGCTCGCAGCTATTTTCCAGGCACGTGACTCATCATGTCCTAATTCATAGTAAGTAAGGAGCTCGGGCTACCCAGCGCCTAGCTGTTTTCGAGCTTCCTCGAACGTTCAAGTAAAACAGATTTGCTGCCTCGGTCAAATACATTTTTTTTGCTGCGGATGATGGGGCGTGTGAGTGAACCTTGGTTTGCCAAGGTCCGCGAAGGGTGCGAGCTCTTGCAGGTGACCGCCACACACTCTTCCCTAGGGGCGAGGTCCGGCGGTTGTTTGATCTACGTGATCGACCTTTAGAGGCCCCTTGAGCAAGTGGTCCCGAGGGTCACCCTATTTAAACCGCATTATTACCAGTTAGGGGTGATAGGTGGACCTCCGTGGTTCGACTGCTCAAAGGTCAGTTTATCAAGGCTCTATGACATCGTCTTAGTAGTTTACGTCCCTTTTGGAATTTTCCTGTAGCTTGAAATAGTGTTTGGACGAAGGGTTTCCTGAATGTTTTTCGACTTTCCAGGTTCCGAAGAAGGCGACGACGCCGAAACGTCAACCGTTAATAAAATATTTACCAATCTTGGCCACAAGCTCAATAAGTCACATACTGTATGCAATATTATCATGCCAAGGTTCATCGAAAGTCGAACGTGGAGGATGACCACCTGCAAAAGTGTGGAGGAGGTTCTCCCCCGATGGACTGTCAGAAATGGTAAAATTGACGGGGTATCCACTAGGGCTCGATTAATCAAGCGAAGGGGTATAACGCGCCTGAAAATGGAAAAATCAGCTATAAAAAAATTGCTAGTCCAGGTGTGACCTCTTCTCGCGTGAGGTACAAAATACGGCAATTGCACGAGTCATGGGCTGGAAGCAGCCAGGGATACCTTTTCCACCAATTAAGCCGTCCTGAGCCCACTACAGCAGGGTAGTTGCCTTGGATGTCAAACCTCTTTCCGTCGTACGCCTTATCGCTTGCAGGGATCATGACAATATACGTGTTGGGAATTACCGCATTCCTCATTGATAAGAAATATGCATCGGGACTGTTTTTTGTCAACTCATAATTTGAAAAACACGCCATCGGTTCTTGACGGAGCTTATGTTAAACCTGTAGCCCGGCATTACCGTAAGAAGGTCGACTTCTGCAAACGTGCCCTGATAGCGGAAAATATCATTGAATCAATAAGCTCAAGTGTTCAACACTGCACTCGGCTATCAGTTTCCCTTATAGTGCTTCTGGCCAGTGGAAGGGACATGTGTTTGCCATAATCTCTAATTTTATTTGCTGATAACCTCTACTTTTGGGTTCTGCTCTGAGTTTTTCAAAAGAAATCGGTTTTTATCTTTTGGACAAAAATAACTCCTAAATGTGACATCCTGCGGTATTGAAATGCTTTGGTATTGACGAAGCAGTATTTGGTCTCGTATTATTCTGATCAACCACTGGCCATGTTGGTGGCAGCACCGAGCATCCAAAACCCTCCCACCACGGTGGCCCCGCCCACATGCCACTTCTATGGGACATGCATCACTTTTCTTCAAAGCGAAGTACCGCCGTCCATGTGATAGAAAGCTGTTCTGCTCATGTGGTGGATTACTAGCTCGTTTTAGCAGGAAGGGTTAACGGTTCTGAAAGCAACCTTGAGCCTCATTAGGCCTTCAGAGAGCGACGACCTGGCCAAAACACTGGGCTATCAGCGAACTGGCGCAGTACGTTAACAGTTTTGGTACAAAAGT